TTATGAGTTGAGCGTGATTTGATGTCACCTAGCAACAATATGGTTGTGGTGGAAACAGAAGGCTTGTCATATTCAGCTTATCCTCTTCATTCTTAGAGTATCTTTGTATCATCACTAATGTGTGTGTCTGATCTATAGGGAATGTCATAGTTTCCCAAGTTTATTTATCATGATGACACCCAGGTTTATCATTCATATTATCTTTAATAGATAAATATTTAAATGTACACATAAACATAGATATTGGAAATAATAAAACTATATATTCTAGTCCATTTATGAATAAATGTGTTCTTTCATATTTTTAAAGTTTCAAAGCTCAAACCCAAAAATAGGTTTTGGACATCCCCTTTATTTTTCTATTCCTTTCTACAAGAGAGAGTCTGTGTCCAGTGCTTCTGCTGCTGTTGAACTTTCTGTAAACACACAACTAATTTTCTTTTTCCCTGATCTCTTTATCAGAGTCATCAACAATATAGCACCCAGAAACCACACAGTCATTACAGAGTTCATTCTCCTGGGACTCACAGATGATCCAGAACTTCAGCCCATCATTTTTAGCCTCTTCCTGGTGATGTACCTGATCACTGTCCTTGGAAACCTGCTCATTGTCTTGGCCGTCGTCTCTGACTCCCACCTGCACACACCCATGTACTTCTTTCTCTCCCATCTGTCCTTTATTGACATCTGTGTAAGCACAACTACCATCCCAAAGATGTTGTTGAACATCCAGACGCAGAATCCGACCATCACTTTTACAGGCTGCCTCAGCCAGATTTTCTTTGTCCTGGTTTTTTGTGCTTTTGAAAATTTTCTTCTAGCAGCAATGGCCTATGACCACTATGTCGCCATTTGTTACCCACTGAGGTACGCAGTCATCATGAATCCCTGCTTCTGTGGCCTGCTGATTTTGCTTTCCTTGCTAACTAGTATAATGATTGCCCTGCTACACAGTCTGATGATTTTGCATCTGTCTTTCTGTCCACACCCAGAAATACCTCAGTTTTTCTGTGAACTTCCTCAGCTCCTCGAGATTGCCTGCTCCAGTACCCTCATTAATAACATCTTCATATGCTTTGTTGCTTCCATTTTGGTGGGTGTTCCTCTGTCTGGGATTATATTCTCTTACACCCAAGTTGTCTCCTCTGTTTTGAGGATACCATCATCTAGTGGGAAGTATAAAGTTTTTTCCACCTGTGGATCTCACCTCTCAGTTGTTTAACTATTCTATGGGACAGCTTTTGGTGTGTATATAAGTGCTTTATGTGCACAGTCTTCCAGAAAAACGGCAGTAGCCTCAGTGATGTACATTGTAGTGCCCCAAATGATGAATCCTTTCATCTACAGTCTAAGGAACAAAGACATAAAGGTAAGCTTGAGAAAACTCTTTTTTAGGAAATCTTCCTCGTAATGACTGTATCATGTCTGATAATTTATTGATTACTCAGACCTGCCTGTGATAATACCTTTTTAGTATCAACGTCATTCTCACTCCGTTTCATTTCATCATGTAACATAATAATATGTGCATAATTGTTCTTAGTAATAGTAGGCTATTTCAACATCTTCAATGATGAAGCCTTTGGGATTAAAATTAAGAGACTTTGCTCAAAAAGTAGAATAAAAGAGATATCTTTTTTTTTAAGGAAATTTAGAGAATTTACCAAAATAGAACGGAAGTCTTCAACATGGTGGCTTCATCCAAGGACAAATTTTCCTCATGATTCTCTAGATAATTGCCGCACATGCAGATATAATATCATAGAGAGAATATAATACCTACAGAAAGAAAACATACTGTTTTTCTTAAGTTTATTTTTAGTAAAGTGTTCAACAGAGACAACAAAAGGCATGTGTCCTGTAGGATAAGTGTTTGATCCTAGTACACCCTTCCCACCTCCTATTATTTGGAACCTTTGAATATCATTTGCATGATAAAGAGTGACTACGACAGTTATTGAATAAAGAGTCTTTGCAGAGGGGTTTAGTGAACGGGGATGGCTTGGGCTTGTGATATTATAATCTGGGGTTTGTAATCATGATATGAAACAGGATGTCTCTGAGTTGTTGCAAGAAAAATGGATTTTCTTTTGGAACTTTCAGCTACTAACTAATTTAGTATAAAGTCTTATTTTAAAGGAGGAAACATTTGAGGTTTCATAGAGGAATTAAATTGGGCGTCTCTCTAGAAGATAGGTATCCTATATATCTTCAAGTACTAAGTTTATAGATTTCAATTTCTTTTACTTTCCCCAAGAATACATGCATTAGGGTCTCTTAGAATATATATCCCTACTGCCATGGGATTTATCCCAAATCTTAATGACTTTACATAAACCAAAATAAAAGACAAATTTTCCTGTCATTTAATCAATGCTGTCTCATAACATCCTCCTTGTGGGTTTCCAAGACTGTCACTCTTTATGGGAGTAAAAAGCTGTCTTTCTCCTGAAGAACTGCTGCTAGTTTGGAACCGTCAACCATGTGGATTACAGCTCAGTGAGGAACCTGTATATCGCCACAGCTCCTCTAATGACGTAATATAGGATTTTGAAATCTGTAAATCTTTATCGGAGCAGATTCCCTCATCTTGCCCCCACTGAAAGTATGGTGGGGTTGAACCACAGAAAATGCTTTCAGTTAGCAGTCCAGTGCTTATCTTACCATGCCATCAGGTGAGCATCCAGGGACCATCATTTTTAATAAGTTCATGCTGAGATCCTGATGTACTCAAGTCTGAGAAAGATGACTTGTCTATGGGAAGTCAGTGGGAAAACTTATATAGATTCTAGAATATGAAAGGCCTCTCCTCAGTTTTACACCTTAGAGCATTATATAAAATTTGATGTGCAAAACCTGTCTTTATTTGTATAATTTATAATTTGTCAAGGGTTCATGGGGTGGGGGGGGACAGGGAAGGAGGGGAAAAAAGGAGGAGATGATACCAAGGGCTAAGTAGAAAGCAAATGTTTTGAGAATGAGGAGGGATACAAATGTACAAAAGTGCTTGACACAATGGATGGATTTATGGATTGTGATAAGAGTTGTATGAGTCCCCAATAAAATGATCTAAAAAAATAATAGCAATATGATCACAAAATATTAATTCATTACCAGTTTAAGAAATAAAGCATCATCATCAACATAACATCCAATTGAACTGCCTCTCAGTTTCATCATACTTCTTGCCTCCAGTGCTGATGTCTAGCCTGAATTCCCCTTTGACTATTTCTTTGATGCTCTTTTATTAATTGAATCTTATACAAATACTAGGATTTGTGAACATACTTGTGTTTTCTTAACATGTAACCTCATCTTTTCATCACCCTGTAGAAGCCCTGTTCCTGGTGGAATAGTGGTTAAGGGTTAGGCTGCCAAATGAAAGGTACACAGTACCAAATCCCAGTTACTCTGTGGAAGAAAGATGATATTTCTATTCCTATAAAGTGTTTCAATCTTGTAAGCTCACAGCAGTGTTTGACCCTATTCTATAGGGTCCCTATGAAATGACTCAATGAAAATGACAGCAGGGAAATAAATTTTATCACGTGTCTTTGTATTTTGCTACAATCTACCCAACAAATCGGTTGCTTTTATAACTGGTTTGAAAGTCTGATAAATTATTCATTTTGTCATTTATTATTTTTGTGGGAAAATACACATAGTGCAAATTAGCATCACCAAAAAATGAGATTCCAGCTAAACAGCATTAATATCATGCTCAATGTTGTAATACCCTTAACCACTACCTGGCTCCAGGAATATTTCATCACCTGAAAAGGAATCCCATACCAACAGCCACTCCCCTGTCTCCTCTGGACACAAACCCAGTCACTGCTTCCCCACTGTCTGCATAGATTTGCCCAATCTGCATCTCTGTGTTAATATAATGTTATAATATGTGGGCTTTTGTGTTTGACTTCTTTAACTTAGCACAATGTTTTCAAGGCTCATCTATGTCATAGATGTTAGATATACACAGAGTTAGTGAAGGAGAGTGAACTACCTTGTGTAAACCCGAACAAACAACACTGATAGAGATCTATATCAGCACTTCACTTCTTTTTCACGTGGAATAATATGCCAACACATGGTTGTACCACACATTGTTTATTCAAACTACTATTGATTGGCGTTTAAGATTTTTTAATGTTTCATTATGTAATTTTATATAATATCCTCTGTGGACATATATTGTCTTAACTACAAGCAGGAAGTTTATCTAGGCATGAAATCACGATGGTCAAAGTTAACCCTATATTTATCCATTTGATAAGCAGCCAAATTATTTTCTATTGCTGTTGCATTATCTTATAGACCCACAAGCATTGTATACGTTTCCCAGATTATTTTTCAACCTTGTCAACACTTACTATTCAGACTTATTAGTATTATTTTTGCAAAGTCCATAGTTCATGCACACAAAGTTTGCACTATTGCTAGCCAAATATTTTTGGTTCACTTCACTCTGTGATGCAATATAGAAAAGGCCTGTCGATCTGATTTCCTATAAAAATGTTGTGTTTTATGGTTGGTAGGTGCCCCTGCGTCAGCTTTGATCATGACTACCGTATTACATTAGACTGAGCAATATTGGTCCTGCACTAAATGCACAATCGATGCAATCAGCTCATTGAGTCCATTGTTGAAGCCACTGTGTCAGTTCATCTTGTTGAGGGTTGTCCTCTCCTTCACTAACCCTGTATGTTGACAATCAAGGACTGGTCCCTCCTAAAACTTGTTCAAAGTCCTCAAATGTAGTCTTGCCATCCCCAATCCCAAGGAGTATTTTGGCTGGACTTTCCTTTGCTTAGACTTTCAGTATCTGGCAATACTTCAAAACTATGTATAAGATTTTCAGTGACTTCTTCCTCCCAAGCTTGGAGCAGAGTCCTTCTTTGTTGTCTGTCTTTATCCTGGAAACGCTGCGGAAACTTGTTAACATCGGGAGGCCTGGCTTGTATTTGAAATGACAGTGCCCTGCTTCCAACATCACGACAATGCACAAACCACCACAGGTTGACAAACTGACAATTGGTGAGGGACATCTATTAAAAGCCAGGAAAGATCTTTGTCACTTGTGCTTACCGAACAAGTGTATCATATTTCACTTGCATGACAACCTGTTCACTTCCTTAATATAAACTTTGATCATGAATTTTGTCTCTGGGGACTATGTGGCCATTGCAATGAATTATAAACTCTAGATGTGAAAGTAAGTGTGTTGTGTGAGTTAGAACACACTAATATACTCTCTCATTACCAAGGAAAACCTCTATGTGTCCCTCCTTAATTAAAATTCCTCAGATGGGTAAAATGATTACTCTATGAACTTTAAGGAGCTCTGTTTGTAAAGGAGCCTACAAAATGAGCTGCCAACCATCACTTCAGTGGTTGGAGACCACTAGTTGCTCCATCAGAAAAGAAAGATGGTGTATGCTACAGTGAAGATTTAAAGCCATGGAAACCCAAAGGGACAGTTTTCCTCTGCCCTCTAAGGCTGCTATGAGTTGGAGGAGACTCTCAAGCTGTGAATTATAAGATCCTTAAAAGAGCCCTCTTGATGCTGTTATGTTAAAGAGGGTTAGGGGATAGGAATAGGAAAACGCACAGGAACATCAATTCCAACACAGGAACAGCTGTGGTCTAGACCTTGTCCTGGGGAAGCTCAGGACTATGAGGAACAGAGGTTTTTTGAGCAGTTGGGAACAGGGTCAAGTGATAGGTTATTTTTCTTTCCTATGGTCTTTTAGGATAGCAGGGTATGGTTGAGATCAAGGTTAAGGGAATGGTTTCCTGTATCCTTAAGAGTTAGGGTAATTATCTTTGGGGAAAATACTTCTGGTAGGTCAGGTCAGAGGAGATGAGTTTGATTTTTTTGAATTATGTAAGTGGGAACATGGGTGTGGGGCTTGCCACCTAATCTTTCTGCCACTTAATTAGGTGGTCTAAGAGGGAGGGATTAGGCAATAGCTTACTCAAAGGGCAGGTTTTTTATGTGACTGGCTTTGTGTGCTGACCAGGAGTCCATGTCATATGACAGTTGAGTGATTGGTAGCTCAGCCTGTCTAGTATCTCAGCCGGTAGGGTCTTCTGAACTCTGGGTCTCATTTTGGGCCCTGTGTTATGCATACATTCCCAATGGGAAACCTGTGGTGACGTTTCTACTTGAATTGTTATGATAATACCTTGCTAATGGGTCAGGTGGGGGGAAAATGCCTGGGAGTGGCCATGCTTAGGGCCATGCAAGTCTGACTTCAGGGCAGAGGGCTAGATATGCCCAGTGGGGCTGGAGCGCCCCCAGCTTGTGTGGAGAGTTAGCTCATTCACTATTGATACTGGCTTCTGGTTGCCTAGTACAGTTATCCTCAGGCAGTTTGGTACATGGTGCGGTAACTACACCCTGGGCAATATTACTGAGAATGAGTTGGACTGGGGCTCTCCTAGATTGAACTGAAAACCAAGTAAATTTGTGTTTCTATCTGTCCCAGGCTAGCTGTGCAGAACTATGTCCCTGCAGCTTGGCCAGTCAGCTTCTCTAGTTAACTCTGGGATCAGGAAAATTTAGTCCAGACTTGAGTTGGGGAAGTGCCTGCCTCCAGACTGCAGCAAGGGCCCAATGACATAGGGAAATCTCTTGGATGATGACTAAGGAAGATCCAAGAAGAATTTATGCATTTGAATTATAGCACTGGAGGAGAATACGGTAAGTCCCATGGATGCTAATGGGACGAAGAGATCTGTTTTGGAAAAAGTAAGGCAAGAGTGTTCTGTAGAGGCAAGGATGGCAAAACTTTCTCTTACAGCCTTTGGCTATATTGTCAGGAAAGTATTCTCTGGAGAGGACCTTATGTCTTTTAAATGGAAAGGTGGCAAAATAGAGGAAGGCCCTTGAGAAGAGGAATTGACACAGTGGTGGCATCCATGGGCTCAGTCTAGGAACAATTGTGAGGATGGTGCTGGACCATGCACTGTTTCATTCTGTTGTTCATATGGCCACTCTGGGTTGGAGCCTACACGATGACATTAAACAAGAAGAAGAAATCTGGGATGTTTAGACTTCAGGGATACAAAGCCTGCAGATACCTTGTGATATCTCACTTATACATTGTTTTTTTGTCAAATAAATATCACTGTCATTGAGTCTATATTGGCTCATGTATACCCTATAGCAAAGGGGAGAATTACCACTGTGGATTTCTAAGAACACTGTAACCCTTTACAAGACTAGAAATCTTGGTCTTTCTCCCAGTGGGTGGATGGTAGATTTGAACTGCTGACCTTCCAGTTAGAAGCCCAATATGTAACTCCCTGCCAACTGGGCTCCTTCATCCCCTATAATGGTGTGGAATATGTGATAATTTTTCCTTAGATGACAAAACATCTTTCTTTCTTAAGGGTTTACCTCAGTTCCTCTTGATCCTTCCTAAAGATAATATCTGCCTCCTATGTTGTTGCTACAACTAGCAGTTGGTCAACGATACATTTCATTGTCTTGTCATTCATTGTTTGAAATCAGATTCATTAATATAGAATGCAAAAACCAACCATATGTTTCAAAGTTCTTTCTCCTTGGAATAACAGAAGATCCAGGAGTGCTGCCTCTCCTGTTTATCATGTTCGTGACCATGTATATGCTAACTGGACTTGGAAATCTGTTCATTGTCCTGACTGTCAACTATGACTACCACATGCACACCCCATGTTCTTCTTTTTCTTCAAATTGCCCTTTAATCATATCTGTGTAAGAACCACTACCATCCCCAAATTGCTACTGAACAAATGTCCTGAAAAATCTAAGCAAAATTTACATAAGACACCTCAACCAGATTATACTTGTCCTGATAGTTACTTTGTTAGAACATTTTCTTCTAGCAGATTGGATATCATGGCCGCAACATAGACATATGTCACATGCGGAGGTACACAGCATCATGGAGTCCTGCATGTATGCTCTACTCATTCTACTTTCCTGGGTCATTAGTATGACCTTATCTACAGTTTGATGGTTTTTGATGTAGCTTTCAGCACAAACTTGGTCATCCATTAGTTCCACTGTGAATGTGCTCAGATACTAAGGCTAGCCTGTTTCAGTGCCCGTATTAATAATATACTTTTCCAGTTTTTAGTTTGCATTTTGGGTGGTGATCCTCTGTCTGGGATCATATTCTCTTAACACTAAAATTGCACCGTCTAGATTAGAGGATGTCATCAGCTGGATGTGGTCTCGTCTTTCAGTTGTTTCTTTATTCTGTGACACACCTTTTGATATGTCATTCTTAACTTATTGGTGAAAATGTCTGTGTGGGGAACATGAAGGAAGGTTATCCTGAGAGCCCTACTTGCAATTAAGGATATTCTTGTAGCATAGGCACTGCAGAAAATACAGAGAAAAGTAGGATGCAACAAGATCACACAGAGAAACATCAGGGTCATGCGGCCACACGTATAGGAGCTCCTGGAGTCACAAGCTCATCTCGCAGCCGGCGGAGGCAATGAATGCGTTCTCCTCAAGGGCCTTTCAAGCTTTCCCGCTCCTGCTGCTCCTTGCTGTCTGATTTATAACCTTCAAGACTGGGAGATGATAAATTTCTCTTTAAAGCAGCCAAGTAATTTTTATACAAAAGAAACTGTACCCTTCAATCAACACTGAGAGTAGGGTCATGTGTGCTTCTTTTCTTAAAAATGATTGTATTGCCATTTAAATCACATATCATACAATTAAGTTGTTCAATCATATTTATAAGAGATAGAATAATCATCACAACTAATTTTTCAAAAATTTTCTTCTTTCTTATACTCTTTGTTATTAGCTCCACATTTCCCCCCAACTTCCCTTGCAATGCCCCCAAGAAACCATGAATTCAGTGACTGTCCCTATAGAATTACCTATCCCAAATTTCATACAGAGGAAACACAAAAAAAACCCACAAAAATATCAAAGTAAAAGGGATAAAAACATCAATGAAAAGACAATAGAAAATATTTTAAAATATAAATCATTGGGTCAAAATGGAGAACAAATATTAAGGTGCTCAATTTTACCCTAACTGCATCAGCAATAACCCATGTCCAAATGCACTGAGCAGCTATTGCCAAGGCCATCAGTTTGAACACACCATCTACTGAGGATTGCTAAGCGTCAGAATGGACTCAATGGTAGTGATTTGTTTGTAGAGCTGTGACTCTGTTGCACCCTCCAGTAACCGCACCTACATTGTCTTAATTCTCTAACAACTGCCACTTGACACTCACACCCATGGTTTCCGGTCAGTCACATTGCATTTATGTCTTAAAGTAAGGCCACTTCCAACATCAATTTTTGCTTGCATACCCACACTGGTCTTCCAGAATGGTAGGACTCTCTTCATGAACTTTTTTTTTCATGGTTGGGGGTATACAATGTGACTACTGTGCATTCCAGGTGTGGTTTTTGCAATGTGAATTCATAAATTCCATGTAACATGCCAACCTCCCAAAGCTTGGTTTTAGAGTATGTAAAGGCAAGTCTGACTTTAATTTGGTATTGTGTTTTCCACCACATATTCTACGCTTCACAAATAAAGTACAGGGTTAACTTTCCATCTCTCGGTGGAAACCTACAATGAAAAATCAGTGGTTTTTGGGCCCACAACAATGAACTTAGACTTATTCAACTTTATGTACCTTGCAGCATTCTCTTATATCCTTACTAGCCAGTTTTGGTTTATATATCATGTTGGTCATTTGGAGTGTAGTATCCCAATTCCTATGTCACCTTTAGGCCTTTCTGGGACTTAGTGCTCGGTGTCATAGTGGTTATTTGTTAAGCTGCCAACTACAAGGTCAGCAGTTGGAAACCCACAGCCACTTCATCAGAGAAAGACAATACTATCGATTGCCACAAAGAGCAACAGTATCAGAGACTCATATGGTTAGTTCTGCTGAAATGTCTGAGAGGGTCATTATGAACCAACAGAGACTTGATGGCAGTGAGTTTCTGCGTTTAGAGGTCTAGATGTAAAAATGAGTGCTAGGGGTAGTTCTTAAACACACTT